TTCTCTTTTCCAAACTAAACAAACCCAATTCTTTCAGCCTTCCTTCATAGGTCATGTTCTCAAGACCTTTAATCATTCTTGTTGCTCTTCTCTGGACCCTCTCCAATTTCTCCACATCTTTCTTGAAATGTGGTGCCCAGAACTGGACACAATACTCCAGTTGAGGCCTAACCAGAGCAGAGTAGAGCGGAAGAATGACTTCTCGTGTCTTGCTCACAACTCACCTGTTAATACATCCCAGAATGTATTAAGATGATGAATTTCAGAAATTTTGGAATTATAGGTAACATCGGTTGCAAATGCAGAGGACTCTGCAGACTCGGAGGGTGTAATTGATTCTCAAAAACGTAGAGAGATTCTTTCAAGAAGGCCTTCATACCGGTAAGTTTATGCTTTTTTAAAACTAGCTTAACTGCCACATACTACTTATATTACTACTAATACTATTTGAAGAAGAGCTCTGTGTACACTCGAAAGCTTGTCTCTATCACCATCAGAAGTTGGTCCAATAAAAGCTATTACTTCACCCACCTTGTCTTGCTAACATCCTGGAACCAACATGCTACTCATAGTATAAATATCAGTAAAAGACAGTCCTCAAAATGTTTCTCTTATGGGCATTGATTTTAAATTAAATTGTTCAAATTATGTTTTAGAAAAATTCTGAATGAACTATCTTCTGATGCTACTGGTGTCCCTAAGATTGAAGAGGAAAAGTCAGAGGAAGAAGGAACACCTTCTGGCATCCCTGCAATGGCAGTACCAACCAGCCTATATCAGACTAGCACAGGGCAATACAGTACGTATGCTAAGATACAGTATAGCATTTTAATTTTAAAAATACTGTTACTATCTTTTGCTGAGTTTAAAAATAGCAGAGTGAAAAATGGAGAGAGCTATTTGGACCAGGAAAAAGAGAATGAGATTTATCTTCATATTTGTCCAAGAGGATTGCAGATTGCATCTTCTGCCACATCACATTAGCAAAAATAAAACTTCTTCTGGTCTGTTTCCCTCCCACCTCAAAGCCTCTGTTAATTTCCCAAACTTGGAGTCATTTTGAAATCAAGTACATCATTGTACTGTGCTTTAAAGAATGGAAGAAGAACCAGGCATTGGCTGAAAGAGGCAAAATGTAGGTGTCTCTCTTGTCTTTTCCATACACAGGTATTTGTACTTGTATATTATAAGAATTTTTTGTTTTTCATTATTGTATTGTTTTAATATTGTATTAAATGCGCATGTTGATTGGAAAATGTTGATTAAAACATTAATACAGTGCAATACAAAGTTGTATGTGACTATGGCTCACTTTTTATCTTAAAAATTTAATACCATTTTGCTAATCTAATGCAAAATATCAGTACTATAAAATTAAGTGGTGTGAAATAGAGTATTCATTGTATTTAAATCTCTAATTGTGTCAGTAATCAAGTCATCTGAAGAATGTGTGTACTGTATGGTTACTTATTACATGTCACATTCATCCTATTATTTATGGTTAAGGCTAAGATTTTGTCATGGTTATTTTTAGTAAAAGTCATGGACATGTCATGGGTTATAAATAAAAATTCACAGAAGCTGTGACCTGTCTGTGACTTTTGCTGCTGTGGCTCCATGGTTTTCCCCGCCTCCATGGTGGCTGGGAGCTGTGGGGTTCCCCCTCTGCCCGCAGCAGCTGGGAGCTGCAGGGTGACCGTATTTCCCAAAGAGAAAATGGGACACCCCCAGTCACTTGCTCGAGGCGTGCCCTTGCCCCTGTGCGAGGCTGTCGCCCATTGACGGAACCCTAAGGTGGGCCCCCTCAGAAGTCTGTCACCTGTCACTGGAACCCTGCAGGGGGCCCCCCAGTCGCCTGTTGCTGCTGTCACTGGAATCCTGCCAGGGCCCTGCTGGCTGCCAGCTCCAAAGTCCAACAGCCCCTGGGACTGAAGCAGAGAATGACCATGACCTCCATGATATAAACATAACCTTGTTTATGGTATGAATTTACATATAATTTGTAATGAGATAGAGACCATAATTTAGGGATAAGCACAGGAAGGAAAGGTATAGTGAAATTTTCTGTCTTATCTCTCAGTTTTCTGACTTTTGATTGATTGATTTTCAAATCTTCCTGTTGCACTAACAATAATTGTCTGTAACAATAATTAACCATAAGCTACAATAACACTGCTCTACAGCCAAAATGCTTCTGAAATAAATGTAGTCAAACTTTACTAATTCTGGGTCACTGAGAACGAAAATGATGCTTAAAATTGTTGATTTGCTCTAGTTTTCAAGATATGCTATTGGGTCAGTATATACGACCCTTGACTTGGGAATGGCGGAGGATAAGTGAGTTATAAAGGGAAGGGATCTCAATTTAAACCAGAAATAACTAAAATACATCTTTGACTGGATCTATGAATAAATCTATG